TGAGTTTCTCTCTCTGTCTTGCGACTGAACAATAAGAACTTGCTGCTCCTGCTGGAACAGACTGTGAGCCAAGTCCTTTGGGCTTCAGGTTGCAACCAGCTTTGGTTGGGATGGGGGTATGCAGTGGGGGAGGGGTGGGATTCCCTGCCCTGCTTGGTAGCTTATATCAGGGTGAAAGGAATTGACCTGCTTTGCAATGTCACATGCTAGGGATGTAAGTGAATAGTCGACTACCCGATAAACACATGCTTATTGGGTAGTTGAATAGTGATTCAACTAATCGCTTCCCCACCCCTTCTTGTCTCTATCAGAGAGAGGCAGCAAGGGGGAGGGAGCAGGAGCCGGTGCTGGGGGGAGCCGGCTTAAAAGCCGGTTGCCCTCAGCACTGTCTCTATGGAGGGTGGGAAAGCAGAGGCGTAGCATCCGGTCATCCCCCTGCTATGCCTCTGCCTTCTAAATACATTAAGAGCCCGATGGCTCTTAATACATTTAAAAAGCAGAGGTGTAGCATCTGGGACCAGGTGTGAGCCAGGACAGCTGATTCCTGGCTTGTGCCTGGTCCCCTCTCCCCCTCCGCTGCACCTCTGCCTTTTAAATGTATTAAGAGCCTGGCAGCTCTTAATACATTTAAAATTCAGAGCCACAGCAGGATTAGCTCCCGAGACTGAGAGCTAACCCCCTGCAGCTCTGCAGTTCCTTCCTATCAACTAATTGACTACTTAATTAGCTGATTAAAAGCAATTTAACATCCTTAGAATGGGCCTCAGAATTCCTGGCTTCTAGTTCCGGATCTGTCAGCGACTCGTCATGACTCAGTTTACCCATCCATGAAGTGGATCTACCTGTCTGCTGGTGATGAGACTTAATTCAGGAATGTTTGTGTCTGGCATGGATGTACAAAGTTCTGTTAGGATACAATTAGCTAGTATAATATTATCTGACATTGGTTCTGCGGCATTTGTGATATTCTGCAGGCCAAACGTATCCCGACTCTCACTGTGCATTCTAGAGGTCTACAAGGGCCTAATTTGCCAGACCCAAAATCAGACCCAAACCCACTTGACCCAAGCAGGTTGAATTGTTTTTTAATGTGATTCATCCCCCTGACTCTGAGCCAGCGCTGCCACCTCCTGTAGGTTCGGTCTGTCCATCTCTTCTCCTCCTGCCTATGGGGTTTGTGCTGTGGTGGTTGCATCCACTGGTGGCTGCGTGCTCTATTTCTGCCATCCATCGCCCCTCCTGTGCATATTAGAGTGAGTGGTCCTGTGATTCATACCACAGCCTCAAGGTGGGGCTGACCACCCTAGAAGAGGCAAGCTGAGCCCGAGAGCATCACCTTAATTGCCTGACGTGACCCAAACCTGAAGCCAGCAGTCGCATTTGGGTCGGGTTGCAGGGTTTGCTAGGCCTGTGTTCTAGAGGCTGTGCCTTCCTCACAATGATTCATATGACAGTGTTGCCTTCAGGCCATCCATAAAATCTAACCTCCCACCCCCATAGTGCTAAACGCTTTACATATGTGATTATTATTGATCCTTTCTGTTGCAACAGAGCCAGTTATAGTTTAGGACTGTTGTGGTGCTAGATGCTATATAGACGCCGAACAAAAAGATGCTCTGTGCCTCAAAAAGCTTTAGAATTAAAGTACACATCACAAGTCAACAGGTGGAGACAGACAGGGAAGGAAACCATGATCCAGGATGGACAGCATGTTCAAGATGTATTTATTAGCAGGAGGGTGGTAAGCAAGACATGAGAAGTGATTCTTCCATTCTGCTCTGCACTGATTAGGCTTCACCTGGAGTACTATGTCCAGTTCTGGGCCATACATTTCAGGAAAGATATGGACTAACTGGCCTATGTCCATACAGTTCTGGGCCATACATTTCAGGAAAGATATGGACTAACTGGCAAAAGTCCAGAGATCACACCAAAAACAATTAAAGGGCTAGAAAATATGACCTGTGAGGGAAGATTGACAAAATTGGGTTTGTTTAGTGTGGACTAGAGAAAACTGAGGCCATGTCTACACTAGGGGTATGTCTACATTACAGTGTTTTTCAGAAAAACACTGTGGCTACGTCTAGACTGGCATGATTTTCCGGAAATGCTTTTAACGGAAAAGTTTTCCGTTAAAATCATTTTTGGAACAGAGCGTCTAGATTGGCACGGACGCTTTTCCACAAAAGCACTTTTTGTGGAAAAGCATCTGTGCCAATCTAGACGCGCTTTTCCGCAAAAAAGCCCCGATTGCCATTTTTGTGATCGGGGCTTTTTTGCGGAAAACAAATCTGAGCTGTCTACACTGGCCCTTTTGTGCAGCACAGTATTTCCGCAAGAACACTGACAATCTTACATGAGCTCGTCAGTGTCTTTGCGGAAATTCAAGCGGCCAGTGTAGACAGCTGGCAAGTTTTTCCGGACAAGCGGCTGATTTTCTGGAAAAACTGGCCAGTCTAGACACAGCCATAGTCTCTACAACTCATATTTCTAAACCTCACCCTGTATAATTAAGGGGAAATTTGAAACCTGTGCAATATAGGCTTTTGAAATGCATTGTACATCAAATCTATTCAATGTCGTTTCATTAAATATATGTAATACTTTGGAAAAAGGCATGTGGACGGGGAAGAGGGAGTTCTTCTGGAAGAAGAGGAAAGGAAAAAGCACATGTGATCTGCTGGCCACGCCGTCCATAGTAATCATAGTTTAAATGTGAGACTGTGTCCATTCAGTCTGGACGCTATCTTTTGAAAGAGCAGATCGCTGTTTCGATGCGCTTTGGCAGTGTGGACGCTCTCTTTCGGAAGAAGTTTTTCTGGAAGATCTCTTCTGGAAAAGTTTCTTCTGAAAGAAGCCTGCAGTCTAGACATAGCCTAGGAAATTATTTCGAAATAACTTACTTCAAAATAACTAAGTATTTAGAAATAAGCTTATTCCCCCCAAGGAAAGCCGGAGTTGTTGTTTTGAAATAATTAGCCCCTTATTTCGAAATAACAGGCTGGGTAGGTTGGCTGCTCACCTTGTTATTTCAAAATAAAGGGGATTATTTCAGAATAACTCCCTAGTGTAGACCAGGACTGAGAGGGAACATAACAGTTTTCAAGTACCTAAGCCTAAAAGGTTGTTGGATGGAAGAAAAATTATTCTCCGTGGCCTCTGAAGACAGAAGATGTAGCAATGGGCTTAAATTGCAGCAAGGGAGGTTTAGGTTGGACTTTAGAAAAAAATTTCCTACCTGTCAGGGTGGCTAAATGTAATCACCAACTGGGCGGATTTGAGGCTGGGATAGCTGAGCTTAACATAGGAGCCTCTACAGCATGAACTATAAAGCCAGTTGGTGCTCAGCTTAGGGGTGTGGGTTACATAAACACTGGAATAAATTGCCTAGGGACAGTGTGGAGTCTCCCTCCCTGGAGAGATTTAAGAGCAGGTCACACAAACATGTGTTGGGGTGGTCTAGATAATGCTTAATCCTGCCACGAGTGTAGGGGCCTGGACTAAATGACCTCTTGAGGGCCTTTCCAGGCCTCTGAGTCTATGGAAGGAGCTTATGCCTGTATGTAATTGATTCAGTTTGGGTAGGAAGGATGGTCTAGTGGCCACAGCACAGAATATGGCTTGAGGAGACCTGGGTTGAGTTTGTGGCTCTGCTACTGACTCATTGTGTGACCCTGGGCAAGTTGTTTAACCTGCTCAGTGGCCCGTCCTGTAAGGGGATAAAACTCATTTTTTGTCACAGGAGTGGCAGGAGGATAAAAATCCACCAGTGATCAGGAGGTGATCAGAGTGAGGAAAAACAGCTAAGCACCTAGGTAGGCAGAACAGCAGCTCGTGGCATATCTTCTGGGACAGGTGTAGATCCAGCTTTAATGCTTATTGCTGGATCTTGCACTGAAGGAAGCAGCAGGCTGGGCAGATTGTGGCAAGCCCACGGACACACTTAATGCCACAAAGCTGTTGCTCAATATCCTCCTCTCCCCAGCCACTTCCAGCCAATGTGGTACGGTTGGAGGGGGGGAGAGCACAGAGAGGAGGCATCTGAGGGAAGCCCTTGCAATGCAGCAGTCAGGTGGCCAAGAGAAGGGGAGCTGGATTAATAGCCCCATCTTGCCAAGCTTTGACCATCTCAGCCAGCGTGGGGAGGTTCCCGCTGGCTGCCCACATGCCGATTTTAAGCTGCCAGCTGAGCGCGAGGATGTGCTAGAAATGCCTGCACAAGGGCTGGGGAGATAATGACCCGGCCTGGAAAAGCCAGGCAGGGCGCTTTCTAGTGCCAGTTCCCATCACCACACCTCACAGGCCTGGCCTACATTAGCCAGGGCCCTGCTGTAATTGGAACCGACTTGATTACAGCACTGCCGCGAAGAGGAGAGGGAGTCTTTGCCAAACCCGGGAAAGAGGCAGGGGAATGAGGGGGGCACTGCTGCCGTCCAAAGCCAGGGAGGGGTGTGGCTCCTGGAAGTCAGGGAGGTGAGAGGGCGTTGCGGGGAGCTCTAGGACTGGCACATTTTGAATAGTGGGGATGCTAATGACAAACAACTTACCCCTGTCCACACACACCCAGAGCTGGCGCCATGAGCAGGGCTGTGTCTCCAGGAGTGGAGGATCCAGACAAGGGTAAGGAGGCCAAGTTCTAGGGACACAGTAGAGGGTGGGCACTGGTCTGAGAATGGAGCCCCAGAGATGGAGATGGCAGCCAGGACCCCACAGAAAACGTGAAGGAGCTGCAGCACCCCCTGCATCTCTAGTTCCCATGCCTATGGTGAGCAGTCTGGATGGGTGTGGGGCTTCCCCAAGCCAGGCAAAGGAGGGGGGAGCCATCGTCGGCTCTCAGCACTGATCAGATGGCAGTGAGTTTGCTCTGTCCTGGCCCCAGGCCCCCTCTCTTCCCCCCACACCCTGCCAGGCCGATTGACGATTAGTGGAATGTTCTGCCACCAGTGGCACAGGGGAAAGAAATAAACAAAGCGCATCAGAAGACAAGGCAATAAGAGTTTCCAAAATACCAATTTAATGGGTGACAAAGGCAAGGTCATTGGCCCGCATCCTCAGCCGGCCTAGCTCTGTTCGCAATAATGCAGCTAGTTGGATTTATGCCAGGTGAGGATCTGGTGCTATTATTTACGTAATAGACCATTAGTTATTTCTATTACAGCAGCAGCTAGGGGCCCCAGCTGGGAGGAGGCCGGGCGCTCTACAAACACACATTTAGGAACCAACCCCTTCCCAAAGAGCTTCCAATTTAAATAAACAGAGGAGAAACTGAGGCACGGAGCAGCAACATGATCTGCCCAAGGGTATGCAGCAGGATCAAGACTAGAACCCAGGTCTTCTGTCACCCGGTTGAGTCCTCTGACCAGTAGACAAGTGTCTTTTTGGTGTGTAATTTACAGGACAAGGCTGAGCGAACGTAACTTCCTGAGCTACATTCTTGGGTTGGGTTCTCCTACAGGGCGAAGGAGGGAAGTGTCGGTGCTGGCTGGCTGGCCTGGAAGAGGATCTCAGCTCATAGCTCCATGCAAATCCCTGCCTTCTGGTTGCTAATCTCAGCGCTTTCTTTCCCCTGGCTGCTCCACCCAGCCCTGAAGCTGGGATCACCCTAAGGCTCTGTTATTACACCAAAGCCTGTCTCCAGAATAAACACCTTGAAGGGCTCCTTTCCACGGCCAAGCAGACTCAGAGCCAAGGCCAGGGGGAAAGCAAATCAGCCCAGGCCGCCGACAGAAGAGGCGTGCCAAACAACGGTCTGCTTTTTAGAGAGCTGGTCCCGTGACTTGGAAAGCAACTGAACTTTGGTCACCGACTTCAGTTGGAGCAGGAACAGGCCTGGTTGATTTAGGAACGGGAGTGTCCCTTTGTTCTGTGTTTAGGCAGCTCCTAGCACCATAAGGTTCTGGTCCAGAGCAGAGGCTCACAGGGGCTACCAGAATTCAGACACGTAATAATTATCGGCTGTCTCTTGCCCTGAGAGGCAGGCGGAAGTGGCATTTACTCTGTGTGTTGCTCTCAGCTAGCTGTGCCCTCGCGCTGGTAGTGGGGGCGGGAGCTGGCCTTTAGCTCACGCGGCAGAGGAGCACGATTGTGGAACAAAAGGAGCTAGGTTCTAATCCTGTACCCGGGTGTAAGAGCCTGATCTAGTCTTGTGTCCAATCAGCTGGGATTGGTCAAACAAGCTGCTCTTACCCTGCCCCCCAAATTTCAAGGGCAAACTACTTCCATTCCCTGAGTGCCAGACAGTGGCAAGGGGATGTGGGAGGAGAGACAAAGATGAAAGCAATTGCAGAGGCGGTCGCCTTGCGTTGCTGTCTGTCGTGGGTTGGGCTCTGGCTTGGTGGGGTGGAGATGTGGAACCAATGATACGTCAGCTGGAGCGCTCTCCTTCCTGCTGGAAAGGTGTGGGCGGGGCCTGTCAGTCTTCTCTTGGTATGACCTGGGAAGTTTGTGAATGGAGGGAAGCCAGCATTAGAAAACCTTGCAGCCCTTGGAATCAGTGGGCGTTTCAGTTTAACGACACACCTCTGCAGGCAGCCCAGCCTGCATGGACCCAGTCAACTGCAGCGTGCTGGGAGAGACAAAGGCCCATCTCTACGGGACTGCTTTGGATCAGTGGGGCGGAAAGTGTAGGCTGCAACTGCCTTGCAGGTGGGCCGCAGGCTTGTGGC